GGGGAGAAAGAGTCAAAAGAGGGACGCGTGTCGAGTTGAGCGACGGCGGAGATGTGGTTGCGGAGGTCGATAGAAGCCACGCCCGCTTGAAAGAGGAAGCAGGTCAATGGTTCACCGTCGACCTTGACCGGAGAGAGCCAACAACAAATTCTGTTTGAAGTCCCAGCAAATCAACCCCAAATACCGACCATTGTTTCGTTACTTTCGTAACCGTTGTCGTTTCCAGCGGCGTCAGCGCGCTGAATACCCAGCGAAAGCATAGGCGAGCGACCGCAGACGACGCAGACGACATCCGGACTACCCCCTTGAACCGAGTTGGCGCGGTCGCGTGCGCGTGCGCGGATAGCACAAATTCCTAGTCCAAATTTACCTCTACCCAGCTTGCTTGAACAATCGTGTCGCGCGGTACCGGTTTTCTTCGGAGGGATGCCAGCTCCACACTCTCTTGCCGTACTGGAGCTGTCGTCGACGGTAGTACTTCTAGTGCGACCGCGATACCGTCAACTTGAACTTGCAGCTTTTTAAGGCCCCCTTGGGCCCCGTTTTCACTTGTAATTCAGTCTTACCTGATTGGCCGCTGACCACTATGGCTTGAGGTTTTTGAGATTGTTCGCTTGCGACTTTCCTGCTGCTCAAATCACTCCCTGGGTCGCATTGACACCGATGCGGAAATAGGTCGGGACTTTCTCGCATTTCTTGCAGCGTTCAAGTCCCCTGGTGGCCACCCTCTCGCGCCGTCTGATGGTAGACGCAAATACATTGCCATGAAGCGACCCATTTTTCCGCGGCCACATGTTGCAGCGATTCCGACTTGTATCCGGTTTACTCCTTGGCTGTATCTTTTTCGTCTTCCGATATCTCGAAACTGCACAAGGCGGGACAACGTGATAGCTCAGTTATTATGGCTTGCTGGCCATCGGAGCTTCTTCGCATCGGCGTAGGCGCATAAAACTGCAACGGTCAGGAAAGCATCTGGACTCGTCGCGTTGAGCCTTCCGATATGCTACTACGCTCACTTCTCGGTGTCCTCCCCTTCGCGGGCGTCGGTGCGTTTGCAGAATAACACTAGGATACAGCCTTATATCCTTCCAGCCCTCTCTCAAGCGGCGATGCAGTACACGGACCCTGATAACGGAATTACCTTCTGGGGGATCACCGATTCCGCCCACAGCGTGACTTAGTAAGTTTAAACCGGCAAGCACAATATCTGGATTTTTACCTTCATCCTAGCGGATATGTGTTTCCTCCTCTGGCCACCTCGGGCGCAAATCCCACCGAATACATTGGCGAAATCGTTGCCCCACTGGCGAGTCAATGGGTGGGCTTCTCGCTCTCCGGATCCATGATCAAAAGTCTCCTCATCGCCGCCTGGCCGAATAATGGGAAAATTGTGTTCACTACCCGATACGCCACGTAAGTCTTACTTACATTTTTGGTTATCATTTTCTGACACTCGCTTAGCACCAATGTTCTGCCAGAGTGGGTCTTAGTAGCTCAGATCCCCGTCCCAATATGAAATAATTGGCGCAGCGTCTACAACGGTCCGATAATCACGACTTTACCGTCGAGTATGGTCAACAGCACGCATTGGAAGTGGGTATTCCGATGCCAAAACTGCACTTGTAAATATATCTTCCTCGCGAATCGGATGGGACTACGGCTCAATGCATCTATCATCCAGCATGGGAGGGTGGAAGCATGGATCCCGGTGCAGCGGCGGCAACACCTGCGTGGTGTCAGTCTACGATCGCAGTCGACAATCCTGCGGACCCCGCAACGTCTATGGTTCAGCACACCGACTGTAAGCAAATGTCGCGAGCCTCACATCTTCGTTTCGCTGACTTGGTTGAAGTCGGTTTCTACTTTTTTGCCTTTGCGTCCGCCCATGTGAGCGCCTCCGTCTACAACAACTGGGCCGCGGGAGGGACGGGAGGAGGTGAGCAGGAGTGGAACTTGCAAACGACTTTTCACTTATAACATCTAGGTTCAACCACAACCACGACCACCACAACTACCACGACAACGTCGACGGCGCCAACAGCAACGGTATGATTCAAGCAGCGAATTACATGGGGTAAATGTTGATCGTTTCTCCAGGCTTCCCCCTACGACTATATCGTCGTCGGCTCTGGACCCGGCGGCATAATCACTGCGGATCGTTTGTCGCAAGCTGGAAAGTCCGTCTTGCTGCTAGAACGCGGAGGTCCAAGCACAGGGGAGACTGGTGGAACGTATCAACCGAATTGGGTGCGCTTCCCCTTCTTTTTTCAGACTTCGAGCCAATTGACTCTCGACTCTTCACTTCTAGGCAAAAGGAACCAATGTATGTAATCATGTTGGTCGTTATTTCCCGGGCTAATGTTTTGACAGCTCACAAAGTTCGACGTTCCTGGACTGTTCGAGTCTATGTTCACCGATGCCAACGACTTTTGGTGGTGTAAAGACATCACAGTCTTCGCAGGATGCCTGGTGGGCGGCGGAACATCTGTCAACGGCGCGTACGTAATTCCAACACGGTTGCATTCTGTCTCTGACTCGTGTTCCTGAAGTCTCTACTGGCTTCCCTCCGACTCGGACTTTTCCACCAGCAATGGCTGGCCGCAAGCATGGACAAATCACGCGCAATACACGGCAGCACTCAAGGCTCGACTCCCTTCCACGGATCATCCGTCTACGGATGGCAAGCGGTACCTTGAGGAAACGTCAGTGGTGGTTTCGAAACTGCTCAATAATCAAGGATATCGCAACATAACGATCAACGATACTCCCGACTCGAAAGATCACGTTTATGGTTCGTTATTTTTTGTGGTTCGATCGATTGAAGTTCAACTTGCGGTTCAGGTTACAGTGCATACGATGTAAGTGGAAGACCGTCATCTCTTTCTTCTAAGTCGCTTTATCTCACCAACTGTAGTTCATTGCCGGAAAACGAGGCGGGCCGGTTGCAACTTACTTGCAGACTGCCAAGGCGCGGAAGAACTTCAAGCTCCAGATATATACTAATGTGCTGAACGTTGTACGCAACGGCTCGCAAATCACTGGTGTTAAAACGAACGACACGACAGTCGTAGGCGGATTCTATCCGCTGAACCCTAATGGCCGTGTCATCCTTTCCGCCGGTTCATATGGGAGCGCGCGCATCCTTTTCCGCAGCGGAATTGGCCCAACAGTGAGTTGCTTGGAGCCGAACCCGCGCGATGCTTGTTATAACGATGGACAGGATATGATTAACCTCGTCAAAAGTGATCCTGTTGCAGGACCGAACCTCCCACCGTCTTCGCAATGGATTAATTTGCCAGTGGGATACAATGTGAGCAGCTCGACGATACCTCTGGATGAGATTTGAACCGTAACTTGAGGTCTCTGACAACCCGTCGATCAACGTGCGTATTTCCATTCATTCATTCGAAACCGGTCTGTTGACGCCCTAGCTAGCTGGTGTTCACCCATCCCTCGATGTACGCATCCGCTTGGTATCACATATGCGTATTGACGACAGATCCTCAGAAACTCGTACGATAATTGGGCAAACGTCTTCACCAATCCGCCCGCAGCCGATGCTGCCCAGTATTTGGCTAGTCAGTCTGGCATCATGGCACAGGCATCGCCGAGGTACCGCGCCCACTCCTGTTCTGCCTTTCATTTTTGATGGGGAAATAAGACTCAACTTCTGGCGGGCGTATGGCGGAAGTGACGGGGTAACTCGCTGGGTACGCTTATTTCAACCGTCAGCTTCCGGAGGAAGTTCAACCCAGTTCACAGTTACAAGGCACCGCACGTCCGGGCGCTGCATCGGTTACCACTTCGTATCCGTACAATGCAACGTTCGTTCAGTCCATCTGGTTCTTGCTTGACATTCTCTTATGGCTTCAACAGCCAAATGTTCACGATAACAGCATATTTGTCCGTGAATTCCTCGATTTATTCCTGTGCTATTGATCATAGTTCATAGGTCTACCGGCATCAAGTCTCGTGGACGGCTGGGAATCAACGCAGGTCTTAACGCAGTGCCGCTGGTCAACCCTTGGCTCGTAGATCCGGTAGATAAATCGACCCTTATAACGGGTCTCCAGGACATTGTCTCAGGGATGTCGGCTGGTACTGTTTCCATCCCTGTCCTTTTATCTCCACTGACAATAGATAGTCCCGGGAATGGTCATGATCACCCCCGACAATACCACGAATATTGTCGACTATGGTACGGCCTTCGTGTAGAACCATCCCATATGCGGCGCTGACTTGGATTCAAATAGTCAACAATTATGACCCGGTCAGTGCGGACACAATCACATGAACCATGTTACTGACAGACAAGCAGTCCACGATGAACTCGAATCATTGGGTAGGATCCAACATAATTGGGACAGCTGGCAAGGCCGTCGTGGATGTGAACACCAAGGTGTTCGGCACAAACAACCTCTTCGTCGTTGATGCGTCGATTATACCTGCGCTGCCGTATGGCAATCCGCATGGTATGCTCATGTCCGTAGCGGAACAAGCGGCAGCCAAGATTTTGGCGTTGTCCGGAGGACCCTGAGATGTATACCTACTTGCTTATCATTATTTTGAGCGGGTTTATGTTCGATATATATCACCGAGCGACCAAGAAACGAACAAATGAACCAAAAATAAACACCAACCGGCGTCATGGTATTCTGGTCAAAATAAGGTAATAGGGGGACAAGGCATAAAAATGTGAGCCAGTATCTCTTATTCTCGAAGTGCGCTCTCTTAAAGGTCAATAGCCAGGGAAAAAAAATCCTGCAGAGGTTCATCGGCTTTCCATTTGAGGCATAATCAACCACTGGTGAGGTGTAGTAGCTCCGAGTCTGAATCCTTGCTTTCCTGTTCTTTCATTCTACAACTTGTAAGTAAATGATCGCCGGAATCGTTATCTCTAAGCTGCGTCGAAAGCCTCGTGGGCTCTGCTAAAACTTGCTCAACTAATCGCCGAAGAAAGTCGATCGTATCGAGGGGGCACTCATTAGCTCCTTTGTATAGCATTAATGGGGTAGCGGTAACCTGGGTCGTTGCCATGATTAAGTAAACTCGACCCGCCGGGAGTTCGACTCTCCCTTAATGCATTCTTTTTTGCGGTTTTTCTGTGGGGAATAAAGGATCACGAACCTTTTGGTGTCTGTACAGACTCATGAGAAGCTCTGCTGTAGGTGCAGTATTCACATCCGATTCAGAAGGCTTAGACACAGCATTCAGCATTTTCCAACTGTAGATCAGGGAGAGCATTAGTAAACTCTCTTTGGTAGTGCGCCTCCATGCTGAACCCTAACGTGGCCTGCACTCACCCGCAGTAGTCTTACTGCGGCGTTTTTTGGCCCCCTGTGTGAGTGCGGCTGTGGATCCAAAATTGAACTAGTAGACACAACATCTAACATTCTTTTCTGCAGATCAGGGGGAGCGTTCGTAAACTCTTTTTGGTAATGCACCGTCATGCCGAAACCTCACTCACCGCAGCAAGATTCTTACTGCGGGGTCTTTTGCCCCCTGTGTGAATTGAGCCGTGGTTGAACTTCAAAACTGAACTTCAAGTTGTGAAGGATAATGAAAGATTCAACTTGTTTGAGGCGGTAGATCGTTTCGAATTCTCAACTAGCAATACCACCAAATGCTCCGACGACGATCCCGAGGGCGGCGGGGACGACGAACGTGGTGAGCGGGACTTGGTAGGACTTGATTGATCGCAGCTGCCAAGTGCTAAGCGAGACGTGATTGCCATCACCGGCCATCAAACTGCGCGCGTCGCTTATAAGTTATACGAAAGATATGCATGAGATGCGCGCTGCCCGTCCAAGTACAGGCTGCGCGACGCGCTTATGGCGCATAGCTGACGCGACTGGAGGGTAGCCGGGGCCGCGCGTATACATGAGTGTCAGTCTTTTTCTAGTCTCTCCGACGCAAGCCAGTTAGACACCGCGAATTCACAATCACTGCGAAGTATAAATTCTTCAATCTCCCCGTAACAATGCCTTGCAAAAACCCACCAACCGCTTCACCTCCATCCCCAGCACTACCCAAGTCACTTCAGGCTCCAGTCTTCAAATCATGTCTTCCACCATGACCACTCCAACCGCCGCCTCCCAACCACACATCGCCATCATAGGCGCCGGTCCCGCCGGCCTGGCCCTAGCCCTCCTCCTCCACAAGCACCACATCCCCTTCACCGTCTTCGAGATGCGCCCCCAACCCACCCCATCCGACTACGCCTCCCCGAGCGGCTCCCTAGACCTGCACGAAGAATCCGGCCTAGCCGCCCTCCGCGCGTGCGATCTCTACGACGCCGCAATGGCGCTCACAGGCGACTGCACGCAGCAACAGCGCATCGCGAGCAAGGACGGCGCCGTGATCTTCAATTTCAGCGGTGGACTCCACCGGCCCGAGATCTACCGCCACGACCTGATGAAGGTGTTCGTCTCGCAGCTGCCGAGCGATTCGATCCGCTGGGGGCACAAGCTCGTGCGCGCGGAGCGGACGGCGTCTGGCGTCGAGCTGGACTTTGGCGACCATGGCAAGCACACCTCCAGCCTCGTCGTGGGCGCGGACGGTGCGTGGTCGCGCGTGCGCCCGCTCTTGACGGATGCCCAGCCGCACTACGCGGGCTTTCAGAACATCACCCTGCATATCCGGAATATTACGACGAAGCATCCGGAGCTGGCTGCGCTGATGCAGCGCGGGACCTTTTACAGTCTCGCAGATAGGCACGCCGTCTTGTCTCAGCGTGCAGCCAACGACTCGGCGAGGATCTATATCATGCTTTCGACGCCGGATAGGGAATTCGCAAAGACCACAGGGCTTGAGGGGAAGACGCCGAGACAGGCAAAAGAGATTCTCGTTGGGGAGAACGGGATATTGGGCGGGTGGGGCAAGAATATTAGAGAATTGGTTGGTGTGGCGTGCGAGGACGAGACGGATCGGACTGGTGGCGCGGCGCTCGATATCAATGCTTTCCACACGCTACCGGTTGGGCATAGCTGGGAGCATCGGACGGACGCCACGCTGATCGGAGACGCGGCGCATCTTTTGAATCCGCCGGCGGGCGAGGGGGTTAACATCGCCATGCAGGATGCATTGTTGTTGTCAGAGGCCATTGTGCAGGCGTATGAGGCTGCTGGTGGGGATTCCGGGAAACTTGGAGAAGCGCTCGACGCTACCGTCGGGAAGTTCGAGGTCGACATGGTGGTTCGGGCGAAGGAGGTGGCGGCGGGGACGAAAGAAGTCAGTGCGGTGATGTTTGGGAGTGAGGATGGATCTCAGGCAATGGTGGACTGGTTTGGGGGCATGGGGATTGTGTCTGAGTAGGATTCTGAGGTGAAATGCTAGTCTGTAGTTACCGCCATGTATAACGTTCGAACTTGGACAATCAATTTCTCAATCTCTATAGGAAACTGATACTCATGCCATGAGAGTGCAGCCCCAGCTTGCCCGCGCCGTGTCCTATCAGAGACGACTGGACAGAGTCTGTCTGCGCCTAGTAGTAAAGCCAGCATGCCGAGGTTCCAGTTTCGTTGAAGCAGGTAGGCGGCGTGACTTGCTTGGGACCCCAGTGAACGTGACAGCAGCGCACTGGATGTAGCGTTGGATTGTTGGCTTGTAGCCCGGAGGGCCTTTTATCCGGTTTCATTGCAGTGCCAGTACAGACTCCACTCGCCGACTGTGCGATAAGACGTATACTTGTTTCAAGTTTGCATGGCTTGTTCAAGTTGTTGCGGTATAAAATTGAGGATATTGATGCCAAAAAAAGAGTCACGAGGTCCCATCAATGGTGTGAACTCCGACCGGAGCTTGCCGCGACCGAAACATTGTCGAAGCGAGTCTACGCTTTTCGTCGTCTCACCCTCAAGCAACCCACACTTTCGCCACCATGGTACGTCCCATCTCCGTCTGCACTCCCCCAGCCCATGCTGGGTGGTTTTGTGTTTCTGGGCGTCTCGGAAGGGGCTGGATTGCTGAGCTGACTCGCGGATGTCGTTTAGCCTCCGAAAAAAACCAAGGCGCCCAAGGAAGAAACCACCGTTTCCCTCGGCCCCCAGGTCGCAGAGGGCGAACGCGTTTTCGGCGTCGCCCACATCTTCGCGTCTTTCAACGACACGTTTGTCCACGTCACCGACCTCTCGGGCAAGGAGACCATCTCCCGCGTGACTGGTGCGTATCCGTTCACGATCGGTGCTGCCCCGCTCATGCGTATGATGCAGGCGGAATGAAGGTCAAGGCTGACCGTGACGAGTCGTCCCCATATGCGGCCATGCTGGCTGCGCAGGACGTCGCTGCCCGCTGCAAGGAAGTCGGCATCACCGCGCTGCACATCAAGATTCGTGCGACCGGTGGAACCGGCACCAAGACCCCTGGCCCCGGTGGACAGAGCGCACTCCGCGCCCTTGCTCGCGCTGGCATGTCCATCGGTCGCATCGAGGACGTCACTCCGGTCCCCACCGATTGCACCAGGAGAAAGGTACGCGCAGACCTCCATTCACAGTTGTGTGTTCTCATCTGGTTTTGTCTAGGGTGGTCGCCGTGGTCGCCGTCTCTGAGCACAAAATACTTGTATCGTAGAGTACATCCACAATGTCGCCGCTCGACGCGCAACGGGTGCAAACCTGTCCCGCGGTCGTCACTCCAAAATGTGTGCGAACTAAGTCTGAGAGCTGAATGGATTTTGGTTTCTATGGCTGCACCAAGTGATAAGATGAAGCTATCGATCGCCTTACGATCCGAGTAGCGATTGAGATAGATGCTACGTTTGGAACCAATCACATTGAAATTTGACGCTTTGACCATTTGTCGGTGACGGCCCATAATATCTTGTGTCAGAAGGCAAGGCATCGACTGGTGAGGGCAAAGATCCTGCGATTATTCGTCGGCGTGATAAATAGTATTGAATGTAAAGTCCATAGAATAAAATTGCATCATGTATAAAACTTGCGGTTCGCGTTCGGGCCAAAGAGATCCATTCGGATCTCTGGGAGCATCTGCGCCAAGTTCAATAGCGCACCAGACTGGACGGAGGACACTGACCCTATCCTCAAGCAGGCGCAAGCGCTCGTCTAGCGTGTTGTCGAGTGTGATGCGCCGTGAGCCGCTGACGAGCTTGATTCCTCCAGCACTGTGGTACTGTTGAGCCGTAGGTTCAAGGCAAGGAAGCAGGCAGACGCACCCGTCGTCGCTGAGAGACCCCTCGACTTCGAACGCCATGACAAGCCCGCTGAGCTCTTTGTACGTCTGTGCGGCATTTTCAGCGGCCTGCTTCGCCACAGCGACGTCGCGCTTCCGCGTGTGCACAGTCACACTAGGCTCCATGACCTGCAGGTAGCCCTGCACTATGACGGCCTCGAGGAACTGCTCATACCGCCCGTCGTCCTTAGCCAGTGTGGAAACAGCGTCGCGGGACGAAGAGAAGAGCGCCTGGAGGTGCTCCTCGCGACGGTGCAGCAGCTTGAGGCGGGACTTGTTGGTCAATGTCGATTGTGCGCTGGGATCAGTGAGCAAGGACTGCATGCGGACAAGGCGCGGGAGACTGACATCTTCTGAGCAACCTCCGCGCCCTTGCGCTTCTTCTCGTACTGGGCATCGATCGCCTGCTGCTCCTGCTTGACGAGTTTCGCCTGCGGCTGATTAGGGACCGAGCGCAGCGCACCACACCGCGCTCACTTTCTCGATAGCAAACTCCTCGTCGGCCTTGACGCGGATCTCGCGCGCCTTCTCCATCGCCTCCTGCTTGATGAACGCAACCTGCGGCGGGTTCAGTACATTCGGTTGCGACAGGAGCACTAGCAGACACAGACCATCTTGTTCATTTCGTTGAGGACCTCATCGTCGTTCATCGCTCGGGAGGCCATGGTTGTTCGTCAAATTAGGAGAAGGTTGGCGGCGTCCAAGGTATAAGCCAGTCCGCAGAGAGCGCTTGGAATAAGCGAGGTTGTGACGGTGACGAGCCGTGACTATGCCTCTTGTCGCGATCGAATTCGTACTCGGGTTGTACTCGGGAGAAGGGCAGGAATAGGCAAGAATCCAGCGTCAACTCCAACTTGTAATTCCTGCGGAAAGGGCTGTTCATCGGCTCGATGCGAACTCT